ACGATGTAGTTCCCCGTCGCGATCTCGTTCCGCGCCTGGCATCCCAGTCAGTCCTATTGTTGCTCACCGATTTTAGGAATCACATACCTGCGAATAGTAAACTTTAATCGCCGATGCAGGGTCGTATGACTGGTCGCCGTTCGTACGAGCTTCTGCCAGTCGAAGCGTCGCATTCGGCTGAACTGTATGAAACTATATTCAGCACGGTTCAATGTGAACTATACAGAGCTTACGCACTGACGACAGCGACCCATATTTGTTCCTCAAGCACCATGCGGATGACGGCATCGTCGCTGCTGGCGTTGACAGCCTTGATAAAAGTCCAGTCCAGCTGCGGCCCCGGTGCAGAGTACTTCTGAACGGCTTGCGTCAACCCCTGGCCGACCCGCAAACCGTCGCGGTCAATGAAGAGCGCTTCCAGGTTGCCCGTCAGCTTAGCAGAGTCGACAAGGGCTCCCCAGTACCTGCAAAACACGAGGTCAGCGTTCGTGCCGGTATTCCGGGAGCTGCAGGCTATTTAGAACCACCAGAGCTACGCAACAGCGGATGCGAACAGTCGCTTCAAACGGAGAAACAAGAGATATGGGTAGCGAGCCGTTTGCAGAGCTGACACGACACCTAGCACAGGTAAAATTCTTCTCCACAACAGTAGCCTTTTGTTTCGGGTGCGTGCGTGAGAGTGCCAGGCTATAGAACAAGAACTCTTTGGAGAGATTGAAAGCGCTGAGTGAGGTCTAGCGAGGCATTCAGCGCCGGGGAAGTGAATCACCGGATCGGCTGCGTAGAGAATGACCAACAGCAAAAGACCGCCTACGGCCCTCGCCACGGTCTTAACTGCGGAAATGCAGCAGAACAACATCAGAAGCCTAAGCTATTGCCAAGCTAGTGAAAAGTAGCCGGCCAGTCAACAACCTTTCCGGCCCTTCTGTAACGATAAGACCGTTCTCAAAAGCAACATTCTAAGCCGGTTGGCTCTCTAACACGGGCGCTGCGATGCCAACAAGGCCACCAACCTACCACCAAATTCGGCGAGGGGTAAGCCCTCACCCGACGCTCTTGGGTTCTATCTTGGGAGGCTACGCTCGCTGAGGTTCGCTGGGCAAGAGCTCGTCGTCATCGCAGCGCCGATGTTAGACAGCATGGATAACTGAGAGTCAAACAGCTGCGTATCATGGTTTGAGAACGGGGCTGTCGTTCTCAAGGCGGCTGAGATAGGGGTCACGCAAACACGAAAGAGTCGCGTTCGCGGCAGCGTGCGGCATCCATGCAACGCGTGTCCGCCGGAGAAGGAGACCCAAGCGCCGACACATAAATACGAGTGCGGGCAGTGTGGACGGCGCGGGGACGAAGGTTTGTTCCGTGACACTTACACGGGTAGGCACGCCCACATTAGGGCGATAATCAGGAGGGTCGCGCGGACGATGATGATGAAATACCTCCGCCGCAGAGGAGCGAACATGGGTGAGAAAACTGGAGAAGGAGCAGTATCAGATTCGGGTGTCTGGATGGGGGAGATGGCAAGACGAGAACGGCTCACAGCTCCCGTAGACTGGCGCAAAGGCCTGTTCGGGATCAACGACGTTGTTCGCATGGGAGTCGGCGACGAACGAAGACTTGCGGCTTGGCTTTTTTTCATCGTCGAAGTCGACTTGGAGGATGCCGCTCGAGACTTGGAACGTTTCTGCCTGTGCCGTGGACTCGGCATGCCGATCTGCCGATGACCCGCGGCCAATGGGACGCGCAGCCTGGATCTGGTCAGCGGCATGTTCCCGGCTGGATTGAGCAGACAGGTCCATGTCCAACGGCCAAGGGCGATGGGCGGGGAGGTCGCGGCGACGTCGGGCTCGTCGTGGTCGACGGCGAACGAGCAACGCGGCACGACGTCCCCTTCAGCATGTGCAGTCCCGGTCCGATCACTCGCATATCCCCAATCTCATTGCTGCTTGCTCTAGCTATGTGCAAGGCTCCACCTTTCGATCCGATATGGTGTAGTGGCTAACATTATCGCCTCTCACGCGATAGCCCGGGGTTCGATTCCCCGTGTCGGAATGCTTTTTTGGTCACTTTCGGCCTCAGCGTCAATTCTGGACTCTGCGCAGTGCGTCGCACGCTTGCCGGGAACACAAGTTACCTTGCGTCTCCTCGTACCCTCTTTCGCCTTGCCCTGGCCCAATATCCAATCACTATGTGTACTCTCCCCTCGCTCGGCTTACACAGCTACAAACCGGGATAGCTGCACTCTGGTTTCTCGCATCGAGGAAATAAACCGCTCTTGAGTAAAAAATGGCTGAAGTACTTCTGGTTCAACTTAGTACTTGGCCTCTACGCAAACCTTGTCTGGAATGTCAAGCCTCGGCGAGATATATCTCGGCTCAGTTTCGTTGGTGGGAGATGCTTAGCTCGCTGGTAAGTGCCCTGCTAATGCATGGTGGCCTCACTTAGCACTAGGGGGACAATGTGCACCGGCACGTTCCACAACAAGTACTGAGTCACAAACACTCTCCGCTGTCTCAGACTCGCGATTCATAGCAGCCATGAATTAGATCCCGAGAATCGGTTCTACTACGTCTCTGATTGAATAACTGCAACGGCTATTGCTTGTACAGCTCAGGCTGTATGCACAAGTTCCAGATATGTCATACCTCGGACATCGTATCTGGCGTGGCCGACTCTTTTACGGAGAAGGCGTGGCTCAGTCCGTTGATGATTGCACATACTACATAGGTTCCAGTCGGTACCGCGAGGCGACTAGTCCGATCCGCCGGCCGACCGACGGTCCAGTGAGTTACTATTGCAACGGCTCGTTCCCCTCCGTGTATTGTCTGTTGATGAACCATCTATACCGTGCTCAAGAGTCGCATTACAGTCACCGAGGAACGGGTACAAGTATATTGACTTGAACATTGAAGACCACCGATGTCTCGCCAATCACCAGAAGGCAGTAGTGCGGCTTACGACGAGTGAACTCGAACCGGTGCAATCCGAGCGACATAAGATGTTCAAGGATGTTCAGGATTCTCGGCGAATTTCACTGGTAATGACTTAAGAGACTGAGCAGCCGCGGATTTGCAGTGATCTATCCATGAAAGCCCTTGATTACCGGGTTACAGGCCTCCAGGAATACATCTATCCCACCATGACGTGTGCAGAACGTCTTATTCGCAACATTTGTTCTGACCCATGGTAAGTCATGTCCGAACCTGCTGCCCGTCGTATTGGAAATCCAACCGAGACCCATATAGCGCCTTCGGCGTGTCTCCGCACACTTGATGCAGTATAAAAGAACCCGAAGTTCACTCTGGGCTATCAATTTCACAGATCCCTTTCGCCATGCCTAACCTCTCTTCTCCCGGTAAGGTCCTCGTCACCGGTGCCAACGGTTATATCGGACAATGGATTGTCCGCCACCTCCTTGAGGGAGGGTACCCCGTTCGCGCAGTTGTACGTTCTTCTGATAAGGGCGATGCTCTCGTGAAGTTCTTCGCAGAGAAGCTTCCCGGAAACGAACAAAACATCGAGGTCTCTATCGTCGAGGACATCACTGCGGTATGTACAGCAGTTGCACCCATGCTGCGGGACCCATATCTAATACGATGCCGTATGTACAGGATCATGCATACGACGACGCCGTGAAGGGCATCTCAGCCATCATACACACCGCATCTCCCTTGATGTATCTGGTCGAGGACCCAAAGGACGTCATCGATCCTGCTGTCAAGGGTACGCTCGGCTTACTGCAGAGCACTGCCGCCCATGGGTATGTAGAACGTACGCTATGAGAACTGTGGCTTACTCAGTAAGGTACCTCGTTACAGGAGGGATGTGAAGAGAATTATCATCACTTCCTCCATCAAGGCGATTCTAAGCAACATGCCCAAGACCTACACTGAAGATGACTGGAACGACGTCGCCGTTCCCGAGATTGAGGCTAAGGGCAAAGACGCCCGCAAGGACTACATGTACGACGCCAGCAAGACTCTCGCGGAGAAAGGTATGTTGTCCATCATAATCCGCGGTGGACTGGTGACTAAAGTGGCGACTCGCACAGCGGCATGGAAGTTCTATGAGGAACACAAGGACAACGTCTCTTGGGACCTGACTACTATACAGCCTGGTTGGGTGTTCGGCGTACGTGCATCTCCCTCAGCTGATTGGTCTGTACTCAACGGTCGTCAGCCCACGCACGACGACGCGGAATCGCCTTTGAAGCTTCCAGGGACGATGTTGCTATTCTGGCACCAGTTCTTCGTCGTCCGCGACCCCGCACACGTCATGCCTCCCGCTATGAACTATATCGACGTGCGAGACGTCGCCGAAATGCACGTTCAGGCGCTCGAGGTCGACAAGGCAGGCGGCGAACGCTTCCTCTGTACATCTCGTACGTAAACTGGCTCCACACTGACCCTGCCGACTCATATGCTTACACTGATGCCTCCACCACACAGAATGGTGCACTTGGCAGGATTGGCGTACGTTCCCCCTCCTCTTAAATACGAGCCAACTTCACTGACTAGAATCTGTCTAGTCAACGCCGCACGCGACCTCAATCTCCTGCCTGCACTCGACAAGGGCGATCCCGCCGAGTACCCTACCCCTCCGTCTCAGCGCGTCTGCTCAAATGAGAAGGCGAAGAAGGTCCTGAGTACGAAGTTTAGGACCTACCCTGAGACCTTGAAGGACATCTTGGATCAGTTCCGCCCAAGAGGTTGGTTGGCGGCGTATGAATCGCAGTGAACGCGTATGGATATCCAAGGCATTGCCTTTTGATTGATGTACTGATTCTCAAGGACGAAGTGAGGCTGCAGAACCGAACCGTATACTCACTTCGATGTATCGCGTGATGCCTGCTGCGAGACTTGAGCTGCATTTGGTCAATAGCACAGCGCGGCGTACATTCTAGCGCTTGAATGCCCAGCGATACTATTGTCCACATGGTTGGTTGTCTTGTATACTGACGAGCCGAAGTCAAAGGGAGAGAGACGAAGACGCATAAAAAGCAATGCCCACTAGCCGGTTTGAACGACTGACCTCATCATTGCAACGGTTCGAACCGGATACAAGTGATGCGCTCTACCACTGAGCTAAGCGGGCTATATCATCACAAAAAGCCTGTATAGGTATATAGTGTCAAAGCTAAGGGCACCGCACAGTGACCTACAGCATCCGATACGAACTGTGCAGCTTTCCTTCAACCCTCGATGTAACTGACCTAGCTCACGTACCTAGGCTCAATAATCAAGCTTTATGAGTACCTGAAGCCCTCCATATCACACGAAGAGACGATAGAGTCAATAGGGGTACCTTCATTTACCGCGTGGTCGCTCGTGCTCTCGACCTACCTGGAACTGTGGTTAATACAAATGGTCAGCTGGCCCACGGCCGCCCACAGATGCCAGTATGCCGCACTGGGGCCGAGGTTCTCATTCTCAGGCCAAGGCTATTCTAGGTCTGCTCCAGAGGGGCCCATGTCGGGCACGCGCGACCATCATTCGACGCACTGAGGCACTGGGGCGGATCCGTTCGACGTACATAACGACGACCGCGCAGCGACTCTTGCCCCGCATTATCCTTGCACACCAACTCTCCTCGACCGGTTGTTTCGGGTCTCGCTCTGCCATCCAAGTCCGTTCACTGGTTCTTAGAGTTCTCTCGACATGTCGCCGCTCGCTAGGACTTCGCCGGCTTCCCTCCGTGCTGCCCTCAGGTGCACCCCGAAGCAAGTGCGCGGATTTGGACTTCACCCCCTGAAGGAGCACACTGCTCACCACGTAAGTGACGATCCTTTGCCTCCCTCGGGCAATGCCAGGGTCCCGAGGGACGTCCTGGAGTGCATGCTCGCCTGTCAATCGTGCTCTGTGGATCGTCTGTCGCTCATCTCCGCTCACCCCCCAGAACATGCCCTTCACGTATGACAACCGTCGCAAGTTCGCCACTCGGTACGCCGGTGCTGCGGCGACGTTCTTCATCATCCCTTTTATTGCCGTGGGCTACCAGCTGTGAGTATCACATTGTTGGATCGCTGGAGACGAAACGCCGGAGCTGATGTAGTTCAAAAACGACAGGCGCAAGTCTGGCGGCGCGGTTTGAACACTTCATCGCTGATTATTGCGAGTGTACACTACGACAGAGGCCGAGAGTCTGAATTTTAGCTGTGGAGGACAGTCTGGATTTTGTTTGTATCATAGACTCGGAAGTCATCTTTCCGCTGCAATGCACGTCTGTTATACAGACACTACATATCGGCGCGCCCTGATTGGACGGTGGACGTCATCGCTGAGTGGAAGATTCCGAGCGGGCGCGTTGATCGTGTCGGGGACTACTACTGAGCGGAATGAAACGGTCTAGGTTCCCATCTACTGAGCGGAATGTGAAGTCATCATGTCATGAATAGCTTTTGTTCACTCAGAGACACGGATTGCGTTCGCCAAGAAGCTATAAGGTACAAGGTTGTATGTAGAGTAGGGCGGTTCTCAATGACGTCCAACGGGCTAAGAAGCAAAGAATATCATTTGCACTGAGTAATTCGTCTTCTACAGACATTGGGCAAGCTGTACGATAAAATTTCCGAGGCTCACAGTGCAGTACGGTTTGTTGTTACTTTGTTCTTCTGCTATTACGGTGTGCCCCGGACGTCACTTGTTTCTGGGGGTATTCTCACAGGTCAGTTAATGCAACCTCACTGACAGCGACGACACCTTACTATGCATGCGACGGGCGTGTGTTCACGTCAGCCCAAAGCTTCGACCATGCGGCGTGGACGCCAACTTCACTCTGAAGCCTCAAGACGTTGACGTCAGTACTAGGTCTTGCGGCCCTTTCCCCCGCTGTACTCGCAGTTGTATTCGGCTCCGTCATGCCTTGCCATGCTAGAACATTAGCAGTGGAACTGTACTAGTAATACATCCGCGCGGTCACCCCACTGGTCACCGGCTCCCTTGTCGATGTCAGCCTTGGCTCAACATACTTACATTCGGAGGCCGATGGCGCTATCTGTTCATCTCCGTTGATCCCCTCATATAACTACGTTTCTACGGCAGTGTTCCTGTTCCTGACGTTCCTGAACATACTCAGCCTCCAAGTTTTACCGGCTTCAGGACTTACTACAATGCAGGATACCCAAATGTAGGCATGCACCGCACAGCCACCAGTCGGACGCCATTTCGACCTCTCTGGCAAGCCTCTCCATCTCGTCCCCGACCTCTTTATCCATCATCCACGATCAAGCCCAACCATTACCTGAGATCAGGCACTACGAAAGCAACCACGACAGTAGAACATCTCGGAGATCGTAGTAAACTCTCGGACTTGGCGAACAGGCAAGATGATGAGAACCTCATGGTCGCTATGGAACAACGGCCCGCGGCCTTCTGGCGCATGTGCAGACTTGTCTAGTATCTCCAAGTCCATATGTTCTAGCGCAATGCTTGTCCGGATCGGAGAATCCGGCGATAGGTAAACAGTGCTTCCCTCAAAATCTCGTCCGAGCTTGCCACGCGTCTCCCGAGGAGCATATCGGTATCACGAGATGCAGCTCTTTCCCTAACATGCACCCGCCCGGGCAAACGCCTTCTCCTCGTGCACGCGCTGATCCCTACAGGAAGCGTTTGTTTTGATCATGCTGACCTACGAACATATGGCGGCCGTCTCACCTGGCTCTTGTCATCATCGTCGGGGTTGACTTCTCACGACAGCGCGGAGCACGGAGTTGGCCCTCTGACCCGGCGATACTCCCAGCAATTGACAGAAGTCAAGAGGAGATCAAACGCAGTCCAGTATGTTGTATACCTTATATTGCACTCGCTCCGGGGCATTTTAGGTCTGACCATTCTCCCCCAGCACAGGTTGCACCGATGGGAATGCACGTGCAGATCGTGGATCTGTACATTTCAGGAAACTGGCTATACCGGGTGGCGTGCTCATCCTCCTGGAATGCAATCAGTGCCCCGCATTCCGGCGGTCCTTCATCGTCCCTGCGGGCGTCGTTAGGACGACATCGCTCGTCTGGCCCTGCAGCTGAGCGACAACGAGGCGCGAGCGACTCACAGGTTATCAGTCAGACGACACGCAGCATCTGCTGTAGCTCCACGAACGCCCTCAGATGACTCGTTGCCTGGCTGGCCTCCTGCTTGTCAAACGCTGTTCTCATGCGCCTACGGAAAATTCCTGGGGTCATGTTAACGCGCTCTGGGGTCGAACATATGCCCCTTGCGGGTTCCCCGGACACACTAGCTGCTACCCCGGAGCGGGTTATCGATAGCCGCGGATGCAGAGCACATTGGCACGCACCTCCGTCGGTTACTGCTTATGTCCTCGAGCCCCGGGTTCTGCGCCGTTCTCGACCGGGCGGGGAGGCGCTTTCCATTCTGTTTTCTGTTCAAGACAACTTCCGTGTGGGCTGCGGCGTCACGCCCGGTATCCGTCCGCGTTGACGGTCGAGTAGCACCATGTGCCTTGCTTCGCGTGAGGCACCATGGGATGCTTCCGCTGCTCTCCACTCTGTTGCGCTAGCAAACCCGACCTCTACATCCCGGTTCCGTACACCTTGCGCAGCATGGTCCCACTTTGGCGACGCCTTCTTCCAAAATTTTCGTGGTCGAGCGACGAAGTATAAAGTCTGACATGCTAATGCCTAGTGTTCGTCGTGAGCTGCATTCCACCCACCTCCTCGAGGCCTTCCAGCTCGCACGGAACATTCCCTCCCTCCATCTCCGGGCTTAAGCACCATGTTCGCCTCCCGCACCTTCGTTGCATTAGCATGCTTCGTCGCCTCCGCCTTCGGCGCGACGTACCAGCAGACCGACAGCCATCAGGGCAGCGGCTTCCTTCAGTCGTTCAGCCACCAAGCTATCGCCGACCCCACTCATGGCCGAGTGTAAGTGTTTTTTCTACATTCATGCGGAGTCCGAGGACTGACAGTCATTTGATCCGTCAGGAACTACGTTGATCAGAACACCGCCCTTGCGCAGAATCTCACCTACTACTCGGGGGATCATTTCATCATCCGTGCCGACCACACGACGGTGCTGAGCCCCAGCGGCCCCGGACGTAACTCTGTTCGGCTGCAGAGCAACAAGCAGTACACGACGCACGTCACCGTGTAAGTCTTTCAGACGACCTTACGGGGTTTCCGAGGGATTCGAGGCTTACACCTCCTGACGACCAGATGGAACGTCCGCCATATGCCTCAGGGTTGCGCGTGAGTCACAGTATGGCATCCTTGCGTCAATAGGGCCCTCTTTGACACGACCCTATAGGACATGGCCCGCTCTGTGGGAGGTCGGTGCTGATTGGCCCAACCAAGGTCGGTCCCGAGTCCCACGCGAAGCTTGGAGCTCGTGATTCTCACTGCTTCTCCTGGTTCCCAGGCGAAATCGACGTTGTCGAGGGCGTCAATGATCAGAGTCCGAACCAGTCGACGCTTCACACCAGTTCCGGTTAGTGTCCGCCCCTCTTTCGCCCTGCATGTCTGTTATCTTTAGTCTAACTTCGTCATGACGCCAGGATGCACGATGCCCGCGTCGCGCTCGCAGACTGGGTGAGTTTCCCCGAGCGGGTGTCTTCTTGAGCGCCGCCTGACGCTCCATTAGAACCTCCACCGGTAACAACTGTGACACCGCCTCCACCAACAATGCCGGATGCGGTGTGAAGGCACCTTCCACGAACAGCTACGGCCCAGCCTTCAACAGTGCCGGGGGAGGCTGGTTAGCGCATTCCCCGTATCTAATCCCGAAGCACATCATGCTGACCATGTGGATTCTCTTAGGTATGCAATGGAGCGCACGAGCTCGTTCATCAAGGTCTGGTTCTGGTCCCGCAACGACGGCTCGGTGCCCGCCGACGTCAAGAACGGCGCGACCTCTATCAACACCGACAACTGGGTAAGCCTTGAGCCTTCTTTATCCACTACGGATGCAGAACTACCCCGCTTACATCTCCGCGCCGCGTCACAGGGCACTCCGTACGCCTACTTCCCGAGCCAGTCGTGCGACCTGAACTCGCACTTCGGCGCGCACAACATCATCATCAACCTGACCCTCTGTACGTCACGCCCGCCCCATCGTCATCGGACGCGCACTGATGCATTCCCTTGT